GCGTTTTTCTCACATTTGCGACGCAGTGTCTCACTAGGTCAGAATGCACGGCCCACCTTTAGTGTTCAGGTACTGCGCCGAGATCCTACGTAAGCCATTTACGATAATCTGTAGTCAAAACTAGGCGTATTCCTTATCATTGCCGGATTAGTGAAGTCACTGTCGTAGCAGATATGTCATGTCCTACAATTGTTGAACATTGGTACCCGCGTGTAGCGCTTCTAGTACCTGTGAAATCATAAAAGATTTTGTGTGCAGAAATATCTCAAGCGACATTGGCCGTCGACTTGACGAGCACTAGTTCGCATACATGGGTGGTCGATGTACAGTTGACACAATCGCATTGCCTGTCGACGCTGTCGATCGTATTGTGAGACATGGTGGATTTCCGGTCCGTGCTCTATTCCTGGACTTTACCGCGGCTTTCGACACTCGTTCATGGCGACGCCGGTTGAATTAACTCGGCAACTAATTTCATGCTGCTAGACCTCTGTCGTGACTGTGTGATTTTTTTCGGATCGATCCCGACATGTTCCAGTTATCGAAAGAATATCTACTGTTTCGACGAACAACAAAGACGTGTTTCAAGGCTGTGTGCTCCCACCCTTGCTGTTCAACATGTACACCTATTTTTGCCATACTAATTATCCTCTCATCATACATGAACGATACAACAGTTGTACCTCTTGTTAAAGCTGACGCGACTTCAATACTCAGCAGAACGCTGTTTCGTACACAAAGAGCTAGGCAACCGAGGCCGGACTAAAATTCACTCACATAAAGCTAGCCGAGTCAGTGTTCTCCATGTGGGAATTCACAAACCGTAGATGTGTGTATTGGCTGTCAACCAGCACGCTGTTTTGACGAGCTGATATGCTTAGATATCACCATTCGTGATTACTTGAAATGGTCGTCATATCCCGCTCGTGTATCCGGTAAAATCCAGCGTGCCCATGAGATCTTATGCAGATGACTAGCAGACGCTCACCTATGAATATTCTAAACCAGTTAATCGATTTTGTGTAATTTCCATCTTTACGGTTTGCTGGCCCAGTGGTCTTCGTCAGTCTCCTTAAAGCCGACTTTCCCATATTTCGGTGAACAATCGAAGTCGTCAAGAATACCAGCCACAGAGATTCCAGATCCATTGCGGCCAAGATCGCGAATCAAATTCTGACTCAAGCACTCAGTCTTCGTTGCTCCAGTTCCAGTGACGAAGAACATCCGCTGTATGACTCGCTTATCCGCTGTTTTTTAGACAGTATACCATCAGAAAACAGTTAGTACGCATGTATGCAAATGCCCAACGGTACAAACAGTCGCTGATTGCATTCATAGCTCGCACACTCTGTGACGTTGAAGAAGAACGTGCACAACTCATGCAAGAACAGTTTCGTTGATTTGTCTGTCCCTTATTTTGCCAATTTCGTATTTATACCGGTTTGTCACATATGCGATAGAATTTTCTGTTACACTATAAACCTGGTGATGATTATGGTGATTCACCTAGTTGCTTCTAATTCTTTACTTAAGGATTTTCCGGCTGTCTTCGAATCTTCTATCGCCATGGCCGAAAGTTCCAAGCTGGCCGACGTCAGTTCTGCAAGTTACTTAATCAGGTTCGTCACGCTGAACTGCCCCACGTTACTGCTGCCAAACGTTATTGTGTCGAATGTGGATCTGAACCGATTTGCGTGTACCGAGCGCAATCTGGCCGTCGTTCTGCACTTTCTTAGCAACCGACTTTTAGTACAGTATCGCAAGGAGCAAGCTTCTCCTTCGGGGCGATTCAGCTTTCATGGAATAATTAGGTGCATCACTGGCATCGTTTCCGAATGCCGCTTCAGGTATGAAATTTGACCGTATCCCTACTTGCGACGATTTGAAGTGTTTAGGAAGCTGGACAGCGCGTACGTGGCAGATCATCTTCAGCATCTGGTGGTAACCTGTAAAGCGATATGTAGCATCGTTTCACAGGCGGTCAACTATTCGTCGCCTGAGGGCTACATCCCACTGGAGTACGGTAAGTGACATTTGGATAATAGAAATCTCTGTTTTTCGTGAGGCATGAGTTCTTACGGCTGACGGCGAATAACCGGACGACTGGCATATTAGCCCACTATTGCACTGTTGTTAATGAATTCGATTGTTCTTGCTAATCGTTGCTAAAGACCTATCGTTTGTAATTACTATAGCTTTGTAGGGGAAGAAGATTATGCTCCTCAGTCGTTTCTGGTCAACTGCTGGCGGTCGTTAAAGGAAATCAATGAACTGTTTGAGCTTATATTTTCTTGCTATGCTGAAACTCTCCCTGATCAGACCAAAAGCGCAATCTTGTCACATTTCTTCCGCATGTTCGCTCAGAATCGTCACATGGGCTTGACTCAGGCTTCTTCCGGCCCGTTGTTAAAGCTTTGCGTTTCTATGTCAGGGTAGATCGACGCAGACACCGTTTGTTCAACAATAACGTTGCATTACATTTAGCTCCAAACTCGGATTTGACACCATTCAGCGTTGGATATCTACGTTGAAGGAAATGATCAAGGTCGAGTCGCCGCTGTTCTGTGACACGCGTCGCAGTGCCGGCCTTCCGGTCATCTTTCGAGTTTGTCTCGAAGCGACGCTTCGCGGCTCTCACCTCTTCTTTGACGAAACAACGAAGTTTCTGATGGACGGCGTCTCCTCCTCGTCAACGATGGGCGTGAAATCGCAGGTATTTTTTTTCAATTCAGACTATAGAATCGCTTACTTCTTGAACCAAATCATCAGTGATGTTGCTGCTTCAAAGGCGTCATCGACAGAGAACAGAAGGAAATTAAATCTACTGATAGTACACGATATAGAGCAAATATAAAAATAATTTCGACGAATCAAAATTGATAGAAAAGAGATAGAATAAGAAGGTAACTAAAGGATGGAACGAATAACTTAATTAAGATCGTATAAGAACACAATAACGTGGAGGCAAAACTGTGCTACTCTGATAGTCGGATAGCACGGTTCAGCGGCTTGTATATCCATAAATACGCACTGATGACTTGCGAAAGGGTTCCGTTGTTTTGTCGCCATGCTCTACGCATCGAGCTGCAAGCAGAAGTTCGATTTACACACGGAACGACAAGATAACAAAAATCTTTAATCATGAAATTGACTACAGGAAGATCATTCCAACACATCAAACTTTAAATCAGTCAATCAGTGAGTCAGCTTCGACTAGCGCTTATCGTTCGAATCGCAGAGACAGCGAAGTTAGACAGTCACTCAGACGTTTCCGATCGTGTGCTAGCATTTGGACTCCAACAGAATTTAAAGCAGCATCGTCGAAGCAGTTGTGTCAGGCCGTTCTTTGCTGTCCCGCGGGTCGACTGCCACCGTTAATGTGGATTAAAATAATACATCTGTAGGCTGAACTATGCAAGTTGCATGAACTAATAAACGTTAAATGATTGTCTTTCAAGTTCTGCACAGGTCTCAGCTTTCGAATGGCTTTGCCTCACCAGCCGACCGTTTCACTGATCGTTGTAGACATTTCACGTAGCCCCATTGTAAACAGCTGCTGAGTTGGACCACTGAGATCCTTGGCGCTTTCGCGTAGAACTCGATCTTGCGCTTTGACAGTCTCATAATCGTCATGGGTCACGGAACTCTGCGAATAAATATATCGAAATATTGAATATAAGTTGCAGAATTCTTTTCCTTTAACTTTCCAACGCTGCAGCAACCAGTTGTCCCCTGATTGTTTACATATATCCCTGATTTATGTACCTATTC